AATAGAAGAAAAATAAAATAAGATAAAGTATGGGCTTTCATGAAATTAAATTTGAATTTTGAGCTTCATAAAATGTTACCAAGGTATCAATTATTACATAAACGGAGACGGTTTAACCATTAGACGGGGTGGATCAGCCATACCTTTTTGCAAACAAAAATGCATATTTATGTTATCAAATTTGAAATTTTATTGTTTTTTTTTTGTTTTTTTTTATTCGAGTATGATATTTTAATTTAAAAATACGTATACATATTAAAAAATTATGTATCGAACTAATACTTCTTTTTTGTTAAAAAAGTACAATCCTACTCTACAGTGTTTATTTAAAATTATGTAATACTTCTTTTTTGTTAAAAAAGTACAACCCTACTCTACAGTGTTTATTTTGGTATCCTTTCAGACAAGAAGCTGTGTTTAGTTTGGTTAAATTATTAGACAACATGAGACCTAATTTTTTTTACTGTAATAAATGGGCTACACCGAATAAGCTTACATGTATAGTACTTGTGAATTGCTTAAAGCTCGGTAGGTGTTTATACTAGCTTACATGTATACTTGCTACACTGAATAAGCTTATAATTGCTTAAAGCCAGTTAGTAGGTGTTTATACTAGCTTACATGTATACTTGTGAATTGCTGTTAACCTTTATATCCTTCCAAAAAACCAAATCTGTTGGTATTGAAGAGAGAACTGTTATAATATCTTATTTTTTATTTAGTTTGTAAGTTTTCATTCTTTGTTTCGACATGAAGAAAATGAAAAATAGACCAATAATTGTATGGTGATTGAGTACTTGTCAAAAGTTTTTCATTAACTCTTAGCATTCACAATTAATTAGACTCACTAGTAACTTTCCACTCAATCTGATCTCTCACAAATAGCCCATCATATATTTATAGGTGCTAATGTGGGTTGATAAACCTGACTTACAATGTTCTAGACAATTCTAGTTTAATTAATTTATTTGTGACATTGCATCTTATAATTTCAAGAAGTTTCCTAGATGTGAGGAAGTAGAGCTTTTAACATATTCCATAAGTTTCTAAGATGTTGTGTAGCTTGTAAGAAAACAGTCAACATCCCAAAGATTAACATTTTTCTTCACCACAGGCATTCTATTGAGTATTGGCTAGTATGTCATTAGGTTCCAATTTTTCGGCTAACATTTGCCGAAATGTGTGAATGGTCTTTCGCCAAGCCTGTGGACCTACGAGCCCGATATCATACGAGTAAAATTCTGAACAAAATCCCTTTGAATCTTGTCAGAAACCCGATATGTGTGTGATTATTTTCAACAGGATGATATTTCAGTATTGTAGACAAAATGTGACACCTTATATTATGTGAACACGAGAAATTAAAAAACTGAATGAACCATAACATATCTTAAAAATCCTTCATTCAATAAGCACATTGAGAAAAACAAGGTCCATAACATATTGGTAAACACTCCATTATACATAATAACCAAAAGTGAACCATTTATAAAGAAACCAAACTTTTTCCATCCGATTTTTTAAGTGCTGCAAGTTTTTTATAACTCGGAAAAAATCTCACGTATCTAAGCTGTTACATTTATCCCTTTCGCCTGCTCGAGCTTGCCTAGCTGGCTGAAATTGCCGTTTCGCTTAAAGAGTTGCGTGTGGTGATGCCTGCAGTAAAGACGATGATCATGCGCAACATAGTTCGAGGGGCTTATCACGCACCCTCCATGGATGCACTTAAAGCATGTCTTGTGATACGAAGATCCATCAACTGTCACCTGTCACACATTTTTCACAAACACATTTTTTGAAATTACTCAAAACTTTCATTTAATTTTTTTTTTTTTTTTTAAA